GGCTTGATCAAACTCTACCACGAGAGTTTCGACGGTTGTTCCAGTGAGATGAACATCGAATTGCGCCACTACTTCTTCGTCAGAGAAGCTCATCCCCAGCAGAGTTGCCATCTTTTGTTTGTGGAAAATTTACAGTAAAAAGACAATGAAAGAAAATTGACTTGTATTCTCTCAAAATCGATTACAATTTGGATTCCGATTACAAAAGAGAAGAGAATGATCTGGATTCTCCCCTTTGTTTAATTCTGGGTTCTTCACGGTGGCGATGAGATGCCTCCCTCGAATGCTCGCGTCGAGTTTGCTTCTCGTTGACGATCCGAATATCTATACTTCACTGGAACAACTGTCTTGGCCGGTTGATAACTCTTGTCGAGTTTTGTGATTCAGAACAAGTAACAAACTCTAGTGATAGAGTTGTTGGAACCGAAAAGAATTCGGTTGATAAGCCAAATATCGATGGTTTAGAGATCCTCCGTTTGTTGATTTCCCAGACTGTGTAAGGAGTCAATCCTCCTTTTTCTGATTCTGGAAGATTTGATCGAAAGATCCCCCTCCGATTAATGAAAAGAAATCTCTCTTGATCTAATTATCAAAAATCCGATCTCCCCTCTCCAAAATGCGTTTGGCGGCGATTTGAGCTGCGTCTGGCAGCGATTTGAGCTGCGTCTGGCAGCGATTAGAGCTGCGTTTGGCAGCGATTTGAGCTGCGTTTGAGCTGCGTTCGGCGGCGATTTGAGCTGCGTTTGACAACGATTTGAGCTGCGTTCGTGGCTATGAACGCGGTGCGTCTTGATGCTGGTGTGCGGGGAGGACTTCCACAGTTTGATTTGAAGAGACCGTCGATTTGTAGTCTCTTTCTGTTGAAGCGTTGCAAAGATCATCATTTTGTAATCTTTACTTTAGCTCTCTGATATATGAGAGTTATCCGATTGTAACTCCCGATGTTGATTATGAAGGTTGTTTGATTAGAGCTTCCATCAGTTGTCGTGAAGGTCGTCAGATTGTAACCTTTAGCGATCTACGTGAAAGTCTTCAAATTGTAACCTTCTGGAAGTCGTCAGATTGTAACTTCCATCATCGGTGTTTGATGGGGATCAGCTATCTATTGTGATTTTTAGACAACCTACATAGGCGGACTGCATATTTCATGATTTCGAGAATTATAACCAATGATTTCTAACCCAAATGCAGATGGCTAAGCATTGTTCGAATTTCACGAGTTCGTGAGATGTTAGCAACGATTTTTGCCCAAATTCGACAGTTTCTTCCGATGACAAATGGCTCGGTGGAGTCAAATTTTGTGATTTTGAAGGACATAATCCCCACACTTTGTCTATTTATACCCCTTTTCACCCAGTGCATACAATTAGGCGGAGTGCTAATTTCATGATTTCATGGGCTATAACCAACAATTTCTAACCCAAAGCACGATGTCTAAGCATTGTTCGAATTTCACGAGTTCGTGATGTATAGGTAACGATTTTTGCCCAACTTCGACGGTTTCGTCCGATGGCAAATAGCTCGGCAGTGTCAAATTTCGTGATTTTGTAGGACATAAACCCCAAAATTTGTCTATTTATGCGTATTTTTCACCTAGTGTAGACAATTAGGCGCAGTGCATATTTTGTGATTTCGTGGACTATAACTTATGATTTCTGAACCAAAGGTAGAAGGTTAAGCATTGTTCGAGCTTCACGTGTTTGTGAGATGTAGATAACATTTTTGCCTGACTTTGACGGTTTCCTCTGATGGAAAATGACTCCGCGAAGTCAAATTTTACAATTTCGTGAGTTATAACCCACAAAATTGGTCCATTTATGCCCATTTTTGACCCAAAGCATATAATTACTCGGAGTGCATATTTCGTAATTTCTCGAGCTATAACTAATTATTTCTGACCCAAAGGCAGATGGCTAAGCATTGATCAAATTCCATGAGTTCGTGAGATATAGGCAATGATTTTAGCCCAAATTTGATGATTTCGTCCGGCGACAAATGACTCGGCGGAGTTAAATTTTGTGATTTTGTAGGATATATACCCCCAAATTTGTCTATTTACGCCTATTTTTCACCCAATGTAGACAAATAGGCAGAGCGCATATTTCATAATTTCGTGGGATATATAACTCATGATTTTTGACCCAAAGGTAGAAGGCTAAGCATTGTTTGAATTTCACGGGTTCGTGAGATATAGGCAACGATTTTTGCCCGACTTTGACGGTTTCGTCTGATGGAAAATGACTCGGCAAAGTCAAATTTCACGATTTCGTGAGTTATAACCGACGAAATTTGGCCATTTATGCCCCATTTTTACCTGAAGCTGACAATTAGGCGGGGTGCATATTTCGTGATTTCGAGAGCTATGACCAATGATTTCTGACCCAAAAGCAGATGGCCAAGAATTGTTCGAATTTCATGAGTTCGTGAGATGTAGACAATGATTTTTGACCAACTTCGATGGTTTCGTCCGACGACCAATGGCTCGGCGGAGTTAAATTTCTCCATTTTATGAGATACAAACCCAAAATTTTGTCTATTTTCACCTATTTTTCACCTATTTTTCACCCAGTGTAGACAATTAGGTAGAGTGCATATTTCGTGATTTCGTGGGCTATAACTCATGATTTCTGACCCAAAGGCAGAAGATTAAGCATTGTTCAAATTTCACGAGTTCGTGAGATATAGGCAATGATTTTTGCCCGGCTTTGACGGTTTCTTCTGATGTTAAATGACTCGGCGAAGACAAATTTCACGATTTTGTAGTTATGACCCACGAAATTTGTCCATTACGCCCTTTCGAATCAAAAGCAGACAATTAGTCGGAGTGTTGTTTTCAGCAAAAGTTGATTCCATTGTCGATTCCATTAAACTTCAGTCGTTTACAGAGAATTACAATGAAAATAAGCAAAATACAACTTTCGAGAAAATAACACAGAAATTGTTTATCAATTCCTGTTTTTGTGGGATCTTCACCTGTGCCGGGAGCGCTTTGACTCGTGGACCACCGAATCACAGATCGTGAGGGTGTTTGAAGACATTTCCTTTGTTTATCGAAGTAAAGATTTGAAAGCGAATATCTTATCGATGTAAAATATTCACTCTTCCAAAGATTAAGTATGAGCTTAGATCTCTAGGAATCACCAAATGATGCTTGTTAAACGGCGAAAATTCTCTCTTTCTTCCTCAAAATCACCGAAAGCTCAAGCTTTTTCTACTCCAATCTGCTCTCTGTCTTTATTTCGTGTCTAAGGAGGTATTTATAGGGGTAGGAGTGCACAACAGTT